AAAACTGGGGGGAGGAGGGAGAAGCGTAGGGGGAGGGTTTCTGGGATATACCCTTTGGGTGGTTGAGGATGCATGGAGGGGATTGGAACCATGGAGTGAGATGATATACGATGGAATGAATATAAAACTAAAGTTCTCCCATGTAAACTATCATATAATTCATAATAAAACATTAAAAAAAAAAAGATATCATGCCGAGTCAAGTAAGTCAACCAAGAAAGAACGAACACTGTATGATCTCACGACTACAAAGTAAATAAAATAAGTAAACAGATAGAACAATTTAATAGTGGTTACCAGGGATGGGAGGCAGGGAGAGTTTGTGTCTATGGGATGGAAAGCCGGGCAGGAGAAACAGGTGAGGGTCATACAATGTGACCAATGTCATTAAGCTCACTGAACCGTGCATGTGAATAAGGAGAATTGGCATTTGCTAGCTATGGTTTCCTCATGAAGAAACGAAAACAAGCGCACAAAACTCTACAGAGTCTAGTTCTACGTGGGGGTCACACCATGAGTCGGTTGACTAGACAGCAAAGTGACGTTCTTAGTTCTGGCAGGACATCAATGCTGCGGTCCCGTCTTTCACTCTCTTAAATGACTCCATTCACAGCTGACATCCATGGACCATTTACACCCTCCTTATGACTGATGCCTTGAACATTTCATTGGTCCCAGTTCATGGGGGGCGGGGGGAGCGGGGAAGGGGTCAAGAGGCAGAACCAAGAAACACTCAAAGCAATAACATGACTCCTAGAGCAAACCATGCCTGAAAGCGGATTCGATCTTTAAACACTTTGGTTTCACCCCCTGAGAAATTCCTATCATGACTTAAAACAAGGTTGAGTAAGGTTTTCGGCTCCTTTGTCACCCCCTGAATGGTGAAGGAGGCCATGTTTCCTTCTGACCTACATGAAGATGAACTTGTCCTGACTTACCGATTCCCTCCCAGGGCTTCCCTGCCCTGACTTCCTTTGCCACAGGGCACTCAGCTTTTCCTGCCCGCCCCCCCCCCCCAAGACTGCCCTGCTGTCTGTCCCCTGGGCACTGACATTACATTAAGCAGGAGATAGCTCCGGAGACAGCTCTGGCATCTGCCATCTCGGGAGCTCCATTATGGCTTGCTCTCAGAGCTGATCTAGAAACGGTGCCTAAACAAGAACCCCAGGTGAAAATTCAACATTCATCCCTCACCTGCCACTGAGGTGCATCCCTTCTGCTGTCCCAGCCCTCCCATCCTCACACCCTTCGTAATTCCTGCCTTCATGAGAGCCTTTGACCCCAAACTTTGGTTTTTTTGGTGAAGGGGGGAAGTGTGGTAAACAAAGAAATAATATGACCATCATCAAAAAAACACACTTTCCCAAATGCTCCAGTTGTTGTTGTTAAGTGCCATCGAGTCGGTTCCGACCCATAGCGACCCTGAATAGGATTTCCAAGGAGCGGCTGGTGAGCTTGAACTGTTGAACTTGCAGTTCAAATCGACATTGCAGTCCAGCACATTAACCCACAGTGCTACACCCGGACTCCATCTGGTCCAGTAGGCGTGAATTAAATGCTAGATGTTAGCACTGACGGTTGTTGAGTGCATTTGACTCACGGTAACCCAACGTGTGTCAGCGTAGAACTGGGCTCCAGAGGGATTTCACTGCCTGAAGTTTTGGGAAACAGACTGCCAGGTCTTTCTCTTGCGTTTCCTCTGGGTGGCCTCGAACCTCCAACCTTTCAGTTAGCAGTTGAGTGTGCCCACGCTTTGCCCCACCCAGGGGCTCCTTCTAGAAGTTCAGGGCCCAGAAAAATCAGAGCCAGCAAGAAATGCATTCCAGAGTCTGGCCCTGAACAGATGACATCATCGAAGCACTTTGACAAGGAAGGAAAAGAAAAGTTCTATCAATGCTGAAGTCTTTTAACAAGGAACACTCACTTCAAACGTTGCCTCTAGGTCCAAAAATTCAAACTACAGTGTGCTTTGTTAAAGAGAAAATAAAACTCGGACACATTTCTGAGTTTCTTTCAAAGAGTGGAGAGAGAAGGTGGCTGGCGCAGAGGACTGTGAGAAAGCCGGAAAAAAACACCCCACTTTGGGGTTTTGTGAAACAACACCTCACTCTTCACCAGGAGTCTGGAACCCCTCTATTGCCAAGGACAGCCTGTTGCCCACCTGAAACATTTGAGTTCCTTGAAAACAACCTCTCCAAATGTCACTGAAACTACAGGAAGTGTCTATTGGGGTGAAACACACTCACAGGGCCTAGCTACTGAAAATGGTTACGTGCTCAGTTGCTCACTGAAAACCTGGAAGTTTGAGTCCACCTAGAGGTGTATCGGAAGAAATGGCTGACAATCATAGGCACTGAAAACCCTTCGGAGCCTCTTTCTACTCTGACTCATGTGGGTCGTTCACCATGAGCCACATGGTTACCTGAGGGCAAGCAAGAAGTCTGGTATAAACGATTTCCGATCAATGATTTCTGAATTACAATGGGGAAACCCAGTGGTTAGGAAAGAATTCAATGGGGGATTTTCAACCTTTTTAAACTGAGCCCCCACAGGAGAATGTCTGAACCCTGTGGGGGAACCATGGAAATGAGCTGGGACCCATGTGTGACGAGCTGGGGTCCCAGTGGGCCAGTCCCTTGTATCCTCATCAGTGTGCAACTTCTACATCAATGGGCTTGAAGAGCCTGTGACTGCAGGGACCCCGGTCTTCCTTGCAGTCAGTCTGTCCTAACTACCAAGACAGATCTTAATCCTTCTTAGGGCCAGCTCCTCTTGTTGGTGTTGTTAGGTGCCATTGAGTTGGTACCGACTCATAGCGACCCTATGCACAACGGAATGAAACATTGCCCGATCCTGGGCCAACCTCGCAATTGTTGCCACGCTTGAGCCCATGGATGCTGTCAAATTTGCAAATCCATCCTGTTGTTGTTGTTGTTAAGTGCTGTAGAGTCGGTTCCGACCCATAGCGACCCTATACAGGGTTTCCGAGGCTGTAAATCTTTACGGGAGCAGAAAGCCTCATTTTTCTCCCACGGAGCAGCTGGTAGTTTCGAACTGGTGCCCTTGTGGTTCGCAGCCCGATTCATAACCACTATGGTCCTAGCATCCTTGAATTCAGAGGTTACCCAGAATAGAAAGCGTGATACGCAACGGCAAGTAACTGGCACATCAGGAGTTAAGAGCAGCATGGAAGGAAGTGCTTTCAGAGCAAACCTGTAGACACTCCCTCTGCTCCAAATTCCCAAGGAGGCTTTGATCCTAAGGAGTGACTGGTCTGCCTGGACCAGGCGGGTGGGCGTGGCTAGCACGTGCAGGGACATCCAGGAACCTATCTCTGCTTCCTCAGGAAACTGTCAGCCCCGTACTGTCTTCAGGCCCTATGTTTCTTCTGTTGGCTCATTTATCAAGGAAGCAATGCACTGACTCTAGCAAAGGGGTGTGTGTGTGGGTGGGTAGGTGCTCTAGCATCTACAGCCTCCTATATTATTATAAACCCAGAACCAACAGCAACCTATTAGAACTCCCCCTTCTCTCTCAATCTCTTTCTCTCTCACGTTTTCTATCTCACACACACAGAAGAAGGGGACTTACATCACAAGCCCATCCTACAGAGAATGAGTCAAACTCCGTTTCTGCAATTTCATGAGGGTTACAAATTGCGTGAACCCATGAAGCCACAGTGGGCTGCAGACTCCATCATTCCGGATATACACCCCACAGTTTACATATATCAAATTAGCTCATTTTCTTATGCATGCAGGGCTCTGATTGGTCGATAACAATTCAAACACATCGTTCAGCAGATCCAATGAGATCGACACAGGGCATCTGGGACACATTAAAACACCTCCATTCCACTGCATGCTCTCTCCTCAAATCACATCTTTTCTCCCAGATTTCCATCACTCCTTAATAGTTTAATCAGGCCACCATGGGCAAAAACACAGCTTGGAAAAAAAAACCCAATAGTCGTGCATGTTTAAGTATATAATGAAGAGAGATGGGTTCCGTGGACCCTTGCACCAGGAACTGTGACGTGGTTGTCTCTTTTATAGATGGAACAAGTGTCTGGCTTTCCCACTGGTGGATGACCACCATGTGACCAGCTGGGTGCCCGTGTGTCCTTTCCCTCCACTGCATTGTGGTTCTCTGATGCAGACACGGGAAGGCTCGGCGTTCATATGGAGGAAATGTGTAGTCCCTGCAAGGGCCATTTGAGTCTGCGGAACCTTTCACCAATTATTTCCCCCAATCTACAACACCGTCTTTTATTCCAAATATTCCCAAAGATTTAACACATGCCTTTGAGTTACAAGGCTTCAAGCCAACACCTGACCATGTAGCAAGGGGGGGCACCTCCAATGTGCTGGGGACTCAAACACACCTATCAACATGCCAAGTCCAGGTAGAGTTCGTTCGACACAGCATTGGCACTGAGTGGGATTTTTCCCTTGAAGGGAACCCTCCATTCTTATACACACCAACATGAGCTAGTTCTCAAAGTGCCAGGGTTGAAATGTCTCCTTCATATGCTATAAAGTCCAGACACTTCTCTTTCCCATACTTGTGGCTTTTGACAACAATCATCCACCCAGTAGCCACGTCTGGAAACTTGCAAGTCAATCAGCTCTTAGCCACCAACGTTACAGAACTCATGCAAGCAAAAGCTTGCCCCTACGGCCCGCATCCAAGAGGGGCCATACTTGTCCACAACACCATGCCAACCATACTGTTCTTCGTTCGACTTTTCTACTTCAGACCAGCAGGCCAGCGCTATTCTCCTTTATTCACAAAGTTAGATCACCAGGGCCTCAAAGGTGACCCAAACATACACACAGGTCCACAGGAGGAAACCTCCACAGCGGGCAGACCTGTCAACACCCTGGTCCACAGTAGCTGTATTTGGTCTTTGTATTCTCAGTTACCAACACCACAGACCTTCTCCCAGACAAGAGTCGGCGCTCTCCAAAGCAGAAAGACACAAACACCTGTATCCCTACCTCGATCAAGAAGTCCCCGGTCCTCAGTCCGGCTTGCCAAGCCACCCCACCTTCATCCACAGACTCCAGGTATTGCAGGGCAGGGAACGCTGGCGTTGGCGTGAATTCTTCAATAGGTGTATCGGCTGTGAAGACAAGGAACAGCTCATTACAAACCTGGGGGATGCTTTCCAAGGTGGTAGGACCCTGGTAGTGATGGTGGCTGGGAGGGGACCATGTGTCTCTCACTGGAAATGGGGAAAGGGGTCCAGACCAACACTCTGCCACGGAGGGCTGAGACTCAAGTTCATAGGACACCAAGTTAAGTCAAGCTTGTGATGGTGCTCCCCCCACTGCCCCCCCCCCAGCCCCTGGGCTGAAAACATGGGATAACGGGCTCTGCTTGTTCATGTCTACACGCTTGTCAATTTCTTTAAAAGCATCAGTGACTAAACATTTTCGGTTCTAAAAATGGAACTGCTCCTCCCATACCACTCGGAGCTACAGAAACACCACACGGAACCACATGCCAAACTGACATCAACGTAGAGTTGCAACCATCGGGAATGAGATGGAGCCGGACTCTCTGACCCCATGGGTGGGCTCATGTATGTCCTACTCCGAGAGTTCGGTTCTGGATGGCCATTCTGTGGCCAGAGTCCATGGGAGGGCCAGGTGTCATTCCTGTGGAGTGAGGGTTGCCTTCTGGGGTCCCTGAGCCTGCCGAGTATAAGTCTCTGGGTGACAGAGGGACTTTTATGACAGTCACCAGGGTAGTAGTGGACAAGAGGGTGGACATGAAGATGGCCTCAGTAAGGGAGAGTGGAACACCCCACATGAGCAGGTGTGAACACACACACACACACACAGAGAAAGCTCTCTGTCCTCTTGTCACTTCCTCTCTGGACAGATTGTTACAGGAGATACCCAAGATGGGTAAGGGATGGTCCTAAGGAAGCCAGCCTTCCGCAGCACAGGCCCAGGACCCCCAGCCCAGTGCTGGCAGACACACGGGGAGATAGCTTATACACTTCACCCTCAACACAGGGGACAGATGCTTCCTCTTGTGGGAACATGCACAATGCCATTGTTTTCCTTTTGACGGGAAGCCCCCAAGCTCGGGCTCGGTGTTGGGCACGTTTTCACAGAATGCAGCTCTGGGACCTCCCACTCCCGGCTAAGTAACATACGTGCTGCCAGCTCGGCCCATGGCAGGGGGACCATCTTGCCACATTGCCTTTGCAAAGTCACCTTAGAGAGAAGCTTACTGCTACCCACTGGTGTGTAGCACAGGACTGTCTCCTGGTCCCTGGAACTCCGGACCCTTGGGGACACCTGAGACCCATGAACCAGGGAATATCCAAGGCCCCCATGATTTACCAGAATAGGTGGGGGGTGGGGAGCCATCGTGTGCCCAGAAAATTAAAAATATTCCTCCAGGAAGCCCCAGAAACGTTTATTTATTTATTTATTTTCCCCTGTATGAGGCAGGATGGTAAAGAATACGGTTGTCTAGCAACCAAGTGCCCCCAGGGGAAAAAAAAAAGAAAAAAAAAAAGGCTGCTTCGGGAGCCAGGGAACATCTTCCATACCGGCGTGCACACACACAAACACACACACAAACACACGTGAAGGCACCGGGCTGGGAGCGGCATGGCTCTTACCTTTGGCGCCGCGGAGCACGAAGCCGAAACCTTCATTGTCTTTTTTCTGAAGCAGGACGGACTTCTCCTCGATAATGCATTCACTGTAGAGAGAATTGCGGGGACAGCGACCATTATTATGTGCCACCATCATCACTGTGGCGGATCCTACTCCGGGGACGTTCATCATCCTAGCCAATTCCGGCAGCCCCGGAGACCACCCGGCGGCAGCCCCGGGGGGCCAGGAGGAGCGCCGGCAGATGGGGGGCGGCTAACGCGATGGGCGGACGCCGGGGAGGCGGAGTGGGCAGGCCGGGCTCCTGCGTGGTGCAGCGGCCGTGTCACGGCATCCGGGGGCTGCGGGGACGCCGGGAGGACAGAAAGTAAGTGGCCCGCGAGCCCCCTGAGCCTCCTGGTGCCATCAGCCCCCAGAGACGGAAGGTAGCAGGTCTGCTCTCTTCTCTCCCCCGGCTTCCACAAATCCAGTTCTCCGGCTCCGAGCCCCAGCAGGCGGAAGGCACCCGGCGATGCAGGGCCTGTGATACGTCCACCGCCCCCCTCTCTCCCGTCCTATTGCATGTGGTGTGCGGCGGGGCCCCCACAGTCATCTGACGGCCGCGGCCCCGCGTCATCCGCACGGAGGACCCCGGCCCGGGGTCGTGGCAGGCAGGCAGGCAGGCGTGGGGGGCCAGGTGGCCGGGACTCTGGGTTCCTTCCGTGGAAGTGCTGCCGCAGCGCACTTGGGGTGCCAGGGGCGCGCTCAGCTCATTAAGCAGCACCCTGTCTTGTCAGCGACACTAAAGCCGCCGGGAGCATCTACCTCTTCGGGGTGGGTTGAGCCACTAGGGCGGGAGTGGGGGGCACGCAGACCGCCCCCCTTGAGGTGACAATTTCGGACTGCCTGGATGGCCTCTTAGCAGAATGTGTATGATTATTATTATCATTATTTTAAGAAAGCCAAACGCTCCAACTTTTTTTCGGGGTGGGGAGGCAACCTCTCTTCAGCTACAGTAGTGGTGTGTGGACACGGCCACCGCCCCCAGAGGCAGGGGATGTGAGGGCAGAAAGAGACAGTCCAGCTGGTCCAGCAGGGGCCACAGCAGCCTGCCTTCCCCGCCCCCCCACCCCCCCAAGCTGCAGAGGGGGCACAGAGGGGTGCTCTGTTGCAGCCGGAAGTCATTTGCGGAGCTGGAAGCTGCTAAGGAGATTCAGGTGGGGGGCTGATGAGGAGACTCCCAGGTCCCCAAGGGGCTGGGGAGAGAGACCTCAGGTTCCAGGACGGAAGGGTGCAGGCGGGCAGGCCTTGAAGGATGCAGCAGGCCCCGGGGGAGGCTGGGGGAGGTGGATGCAACGTGGGGAAGCAACTGCCACGAGGACAGTTCCAGACAGATGGCCAGTGTCACCCAGCCCTCTCAGGGTGTCGGCTGGGGTCTGTAGCCTTCGGGGTTACCCATGACTTCTCAGAAGCTGGGGAGTCAGGGAGCAGCAAGGAGGAACAAAGGCCTGGCTGTCTAATGTGGGGGAGCCGTGAGAAGGTTCAGACCCACCTGGACTAGGAACTCAGGGCCTCTTTTCCAGCTGCTGGATGGCCTGAGGTGGAGAGGGGGGGCAGACTTTAGGACAGTCTGGGAGCACCCCAACAGGCATGGGACACGGCCAGGCAGCAGCCCATTTTACAGAGGAGGCCACAGAGGCACAGAGAGGCAGAGACTCGAATGGTCAGTGGAGGGCTCCCCGTTCTGACTCTTCAGTGAAACTGACAACTATGCAAAGAATTGTGTCAGGCAGGGTGACCTTGTCCACCAGGAAGGGACCACGGGGCACACACTTGGACAGCTGCTGCCCACAACACTGGACAGGTGTGGTCTGAGGACTGGGGATTCCGACTCTAGCTCCCACATCAAAGACCACCACCACCACCCATAACCCCCAGCCCCACCGTGCCATAGTCACCTGACCTGAGGCCTGAGATGGAATCACGGTTCAGTGTACAGAGAGTTACAGGGCTCTGTAAGCCTCAGTTTCCCCACATGGCTGGGAAAGCTAGGGACTGACCCCTTTGTCTGATCCTTAGCCACAACTTGGGGACCACAGGAGGACTCTGGAGGAGCCAGGACGCATGGGCACTTTGTCCTCACAGCCATCCCCAGCTGGAACACCATACTGCCCCCATGCTGACCACCTCCCGTCCACTCTCAGTTTCTCCAAGGAGTCCAGGGACAGGGATCGGTGCTCAGAAACCAAGCCCTGTTGGGAGCAGCTATAAAAACCCAGCCCCTGAAACTCCACTGAGGATGCCCACTCCACCCACGACTCTCTACTCATGCACTCATCCAGAGGCACTTGTCCACACTGTCCACCTCTGTCCTGCTCAGCTCTGACCCCACCCTGCACTCCAGGTACACTGCTCTCCCACCGGCCAGCTGCCCCTGCCCTCAGCCTCAGTCTCAACGAAGGGCATCACGCCCTGCTAGCTGTGCCTCTAACCAGGAACTTCAAGGGGCAACAGGACACTCTCCCTCAGGACAGCACATGGGTGGAGTGTTGCAGCATCCAAGCGAACTTGGTTCAAATCCCAGCTTTACCACCATGCCCTCTAATCCCAAGGTCGTGACTTTTCTAAGCCTCAGATACCAGCTCTGAGATGAGAACATGCCAGGTAAAGAGGTGATGAGAGGCCCCCAGAGCCCTCAACACTGCTCCTGGTACCCCGAAAGTCCCCTCAAACCACACCCATTAACTTCTAGTCAACTCCCACTCATGGCATCCCTATCTGCTCCATAGGGTTTTCAATGGCTGAGTTTTTGGAAGTCTATTGCCAGACCTTTCTTCCAAGATGCCTCTGAGCGGACTTGAACCTCCAACCTCTTGGTTACTAGCTGAGCACTTAACTGTTTGCATCACCCAGGGGCTCAGGTACTTCTTGAGCACTCACCACATGCCAGGTGCTCAGACGGACAAGCTCTCCTCACAGAGAACGCTGTAGGGCCGGCTTAATAACAGTCACTATTTGTTTGTGGAAGGAACTGTGTTAGTATGTTGTTGTTGTTGTTGTTAAGTGCCGTGGAGTCAGTTCTGACTCATAGCGACCCTGCACAGGGTTTCCGAGGCTGTAAATCTTTACGGGAGCAGAACGCCTCATCTTTCTCCCGCGGAACTGCTGGTAGTTTCGAACTGCTGACCTTAAGGTTCGCAGCCTGATTCGTAACCACTACACTACCAGAGTTACAAGTTGGGCTGCAAACCAAAAGGTCAGCAGTTCGAATCTAGGAGAAAGATGAGGCTTTCTGCTCTCATAAGACTTACTCTTGGAAATCCTATACAAAGTTGCTATGAGTTGGAACCTACTCCACCGGGGAAACCCACCATCACTAATGTGCAGACTCTCCCTTGCCTCCTCCAACATCCTTGCTTCAGTCTGTAACTCTAATTTGAGTGGCCCCCCAACACCCTCCCTCCCTCCCCCTCTCGAAACCTCCTCAGTAGCTCCAGATTCATACTCGAACTTTCTCATCCCCATCCAATGATTCCACCTCATCCCATTCTGTCCATAGAACGGGCATGGGTTTGAATCCCAACACTGAAACCTACAGTTCATCTCCTCAGAACCTCACTTTCTCCACATATAAAGGGGAGGGGGGCAATAGTATCTACCTTGTAGGGTTTGAGGGTCCCCGACTGGTGCACATGGCTTGCATTTGACTACTAACCTAAAGTTAGCACTTGAACCCAGCCTGCAGTACCTCAGAAGAAAGGTCTGATGAACTGTTTCTGAAAGGTTACAACGAAGAACACATGGTATTGTTCTATCTATCAGGTCCGTGTGTGTTGGAATGGAGTGGATAGCAAGGGGTATGTGCTGCACACATGGGTTGTCACGAGTACAAATCAACTCAGTGTTCCATAGCCACACCACGCCCCCCCCCCCCCTGTAAAGGATGCTTCCTTTGCCTGTCCTGTCCTCCCAGCACTGGTCAGCTCACCAGCCGCTGCACTAGGTGCAAATTCTCCACCAAGCTGCCTGGCCAGAGGAAACACCATCTTTCTATCAAAGGGTTCCCTTGGACCTTGCTCCAGCCTCTTAGGACCCTTCCCACCGTCATCCCATGAAGCCTTGACCATAGGAGAAAATGTCACATCCTGTCATGCTCGTCTGAGTCTTTGGGTAGGTTCCAGCCTGTGCTGCTGACTGAACAAAATAATAGGACCCTGCTACGTTCTCCTCAATGTGTTTTCTGAGCACACGGAGAGTCCCCAACTTCTGACGGGGGTTCGTTCCAGTGGTTCCGCAGTAAGTTGGCTCTGACTTAACAATGTTTCTATTAGATTGTGTTGGTACGGCCTTTAATTATCAGCATCTTTATCAATGTATTTGTCTTTGGGAGGTAAGAAGCTCTACACATAAACTGCCATGAGCAAACTATGGGCTGCAACATTGTATGCAGTGCATATTACCAATGATACAATGTACCAGAAGAAAGACGAAAAGGAGGTCGTAACTGGAACGCGTCATAAGTCAGGTACAACTTGTACCTGGCAAGGTTCTCAGTACCCTCAGTCTCCTTTGGCATCGTCTCCCAGTAGTGGGAGCTGTGGAGCATGACTGTGGTGGGCACCCAGTCCGCCACAGAGGATGCCAGTAACAGCAAAGCCGCTGTTGTTGTAGTTGTTAAGATGTCGTCCGTCTATTTTTGACTCATAGCAACCCAATGTGACGGAGCAGAACTGCCCTATGGGATTTCCAGGACTGTAGTTTTACGCAGATCACCAGTTCTTTCCCCGGAAGAGCCACTGAGTTCAAACCGCCTACACTTGGTTACCAGAGTCCTCATGTTGTTGTTGTTAAGTACTGTAGAGTCGGTTCCTACTCAGAGCGACCCTGATAGGGTTTCTGAGGAGTGGCTGGTGAGTTTCAACAGCCAACTATGTGGTTCAAACCGACCTTGAGGACGAGTGCCACACCAGTGTCTTCACAGCGCTCATGAAACCAAAAAATAAATCCATTGCCATCAAATCAGTTCCAACCCAAAGCTGGACTTCTTCACGGAAGTAGACTGCCTGTCCCATCCTTCTCCTGTGGGGCCACTGAGTGGGTTCCAACTGC